TGCAAGGAATATAATTTTTTTTTTACATATGAATTTAAAATAGGTTATATTTTGATGCATGTTGAAACATTTTATTATCAAAATATATTAACTTAAATACAAATTAAATATTTGAAAGTGTTTAAATATATAAACGGAAACATTCTGGGTCACCAAAAGCTGACACATTGTTGTTTCTTTAAAGATTAGATAATAAAGAAGAAAAAAAAAATCAGCTTTTCCACAATCTCACAGACAGGATCACTTTATAATATATTAACCAACTTTGTATGAAAAAAATTAAATATTCAAGTATAAATATTACTATTTTACAAATAAATCTACCATCGATGCTTAAAAATTCATTTGATGAGGAAAATTTGTGAAATAAAGTTGGTCTCCATTCCTTCTGAAACAAAACAAAACTGAAATAAAATGTCTTTTGAGTTTTTAAAATGTTCTAAGGTTTCACAACTGCAGTATAAAATTGTAATCCTTTTTTCAGTAATCAAGAGAAACAAATAACAGAACCAGATGTATTAAAAATCATGTGTATGACATGAAGGAAATGATATACAGATATCTGTCAATAAACAGAATCAGTAACAGGAAGAATGAGGTGAAAAGTAAAGGCTTTTAATGGTGATGAGTGCTTTGAGAATTCAAAGGAAAGGTGAAATGAATTATGAACATTTATATACCATAGGGTAAGAAGTTGGTGAATTGCAAAAAAAGTTTTTTTTTTTTGCTTTTAGCATGAGCAAGGAGGGTGTGAAAAATAATATTAGTAGAAAAAGGGAGCAAATCCACCACAAGAAAATAATAAACCAAAATAAATAATAGGGAACATGAGAGCAAACAAAATCTACTAAAAAAAAAAAAAAAAAAACAGCATGGCATTTAGTACAAAAAAGAACCCTTGAGACTTACTTGTTCTTGCCCTTATAATGATAAACAAATATAAAACAAACTGCAGTATTTATGGGGACAAAACATAAAAACTGGAAAGGTCAAGTTGAAATTATAGATAAAATTAAAACTATTAATGTTTATAAATGTCCAATAACTATAAATATTTGCAACTGAGTTTAAAACAATCTTCCTTTTTAATTAGATATTTTGTTATTTCTTAAATGTTACACATTTCTCAAAGCCAGATCATCCATTATAATACACACAATATGAAAACACATTGTGTGTCTCAAAGGCTATACTGGTTATAATTATTCAAAGCAAAATTAGATTCATTTGAATAAAAATTGGTTTCTTTAAATGCTTTTCTAATAATAAATATAAGTTTGTGAAATGATATAATAGAAATCATAATTTCATTAAATTTTAATTGCATATTAATTATAGGAGTAAAGAAATAAGTAAATTTACCAATTATTAACATATAAACACTTTAAAAATATATTATCCACTTAAGAGACTAAACACTTCTTTGAAAAGCAAATATATCTTTAAAAAAAAACCCAAGAAGAATGGATAATGATGCAATACAAGATTGAATGGAATAATGTATAAAAATCATTTCCAATTTAAAATTATGCATTGTATTTTTTGTTCTTTTATATATATCATGTTAGTAAAGTTTTTGCACATTACTCAAAAATCTAAATAAATTATGGGGTAATGTACAAAAAGTTTAAAGTCCAAAGCATTTCAGCAAAGCAATTATTAATTGGCCTCAAGAGCAATAGTCTTACTTTCATACTAATAGGATGAATAGAATAGGGGAGGAAAAAAAAACAATGGATGTTCTGATACATCAGCTGATATCTGATTAGCTCAGATATATTTCAAGGTTTTAAGTACTTAAATGCAGATTAGTGCACATTGAAAATAAAGTATCTTCAATTCTGAACAATGTGCAAAAAGAGTGCTGAGCAAGCAGAGAGGAAAGAAGTTAAGTGCTATATATATATATATATATATATATATATATATATATATATATATAAATAAATTGGTAATACTTAAAAAGATCCCAGTGCTAAGTGAAAAGCCACTTATATAACAAAGAATCAAAACAACATTTAGAAGTAAAAGTGATTTCCTTGAAATATATTAAGCAAAAAAGATATCAACTATAGAAAAGAAACATTAAGGTTTCATTAAAACAAACTTAGCATTTTCCTTATATATTATTTTTTCCTTATATTGAATTTTCATAGATGTTGAAAAAAATGTTTTTAAAATCTTCTGAAATGAAGTTATTAAAAAGATTGACAAATTTCCTCAGGAACAAACTGGAAATTTTGCTAGTGTTTACACACACAAGCTAAACTCCATGTGATGTTCTAATAAAAAAAATTAAGTGTATAGGTTTATTTATCAATATAGGATGAAAGTAGGGTTTTAACATTTCCCTTAAACTGCAGTTTGTAATAAGACTTATCATGTCACCAGCAGTTTTAAAAATACAATTTGTTTTTTCGTAATTATTATTTTCTGCACATGACATGGTTAAATTACATTAAATAATCACCATATGGAAAGTTGAAATTAACTATGTAGATTTAAGTACTAAGAATGGCTGGCAACTATTTCCTTACCAGAGTCTAATATAGTATATAAGGAGGTACTAAAAAGTTTGTAGCCCAATCCACTTCCCAAAATCTGATGAGATGACTAAACATCTATTTTTTTTTCTCCTGAAAACTTCATCATACTAAGAAATTTTATCTGACAGATTAAAATTTAGTTAATGACTGTGTTTTACTTATGGACTTATATTGCTTAAAATTTGCTATATTTGTAGGGAAAGAGTATACATGTATACATATACATGTATACGTAGACATGCATATACATATGTATATATACACACACACACACACTTTATAAATAAATTAGCAACCATACGGAAGAAAATAATCATTGAAGAGAAAATATTGCTCAATATCTCATAACATAGCAAACATATTATTCCCAATACAGTGTTTCTTCTGGCAAGCCACTAAGTTGTGACATAGTTTAGCTGTAGTGGAATAGTATAACAGCAAACAATGCTTGTCGCTTGAAGATTGCATACTATGACATGCATGAAGTTTAAAGTCATAGCTAGATAAAACAGACATCTTACAAAAATAACACACATATATATATATATATATATATATATATATATGGTATAATGAGATATATATTTTTATAGATCAAGAACATTTTTGTAGGAAAGATGTATGATAAAATGGGAAAAAATTTTTTATGATGTGTTTCATCCTTTAGGACCTTATCAGACTGGGTTCATTTGTGTTGATGTGACTACACATTTACATGAACGAGAAACAGTAGGAATTTTAAATTTAGAAAACAATTTCCTTTTTCCTTTGTGTTTTGAGCATAGAATGTAGTCAATTTCATCCAGATTCTTTTTTCCATTATCTATATATATATATATATATATATATATATATATACATACATACACACACACATACATACATACATACATACATACACGCACACAGTTTTTAAAGTAATGCCAATATGTGAAATTTATGTTAGGTTCCCTCTACATTATGTGAAATCTGTGGAGAACTGGTAAGACGCTCGCAGTACAACCATCCTACAGTCCCACTTGGTATATGGAACTGATGATGAGTATGTCAAATACACATTGTGAATTAAATGTCATTTTATATTTAGTGCATTAGCTACTGCTTTTTAGATTTTTAGCTGGCCGATACATGTACAAGATACAAGTAGCTTCAATGTATTTACACTAGCCAATTATCTGTTCCCACTTTTTTAATTTTCTACCTCAACTACATTCATAATAAACTAATAAAATCATCTCTTTTATTGTCATTGTCATATATAGACACACAACTGAGCAAGATCATCAATTATGATTTATTAGAGCTAATGAATAAAAAATGTACTGAGTTTAAAACTCAGTGTTTGTAAGGAATCTCAAATCATCTGATTACCAATTTTACGTCTGGATATCCACAATGAGATTATAAAAAAAAAAAACACTCAAAACTTAAAGTACTGTTCTCATTTTGAGAACTGTTTTTTGCATATTTGCTATTACGTTTTTTGTGATGAACAGATTTTTCTGCAAGAAAAGTTCATGCATAACCAAATATTTCCAGTCAGAATTGCCAGCCATTTCTTGCAGTACTTTGTGCAAAATGAGTTTTGCTATCTGTATATTTTTGCAAAAAAGCACACATGTTGGTTTATATTCTTGAATTTTATTATTAGAATTAAGCATTAATTCTATTGTCAATTATCAATTTCTGACTAATATTTCTTTTATCTTAACTAATGTTTATTGCAACAACTCAGTCATTCTACAGCCATAAGTAAACAGTGTGTATCAGAAATACAGAATAAGCTTTATTCTTTAATTTCCAATCCATGTTATTTTTGAATATGACTTCCTCTACTGTTCTTTAGTCATTTCCTATTAACACTGCTCAATCATATTTATCAGAATCTGATTTTATGCTGAGTCATGATCTACACTCATTTGAGGCTAGCTGATGATTTGCTTACTTTTTTACTTATATATTTAGTATCATTTTATAACTTGGCAATGTATTCATACCAACAATGCCTTGTCTTTGTGGGTTTTTAATCAATTTTTTTATGATTACATTTGCCAATTATCAATGGTTACATTATGTTTCAGAATATTACAAAAGTCCCACTGATAAATATCAGAGAACAAACCAATAAAAGATCAAATTAATGATAAAACAATTAGACAAATGGTAATTTTATCTAAAAATACAGGCGAGTGTAAAACAAATTGCCAAAAGCAAGTAAACATTTGTAAATGCATTTTTTTTATTTAAAATGTAATAAATATTTGCTAAAATATTTTTTTAAATGTAAAATAACTAAAAGAATTAAACAAAGACTATAGAACTTGTACAATAATTATAACTACTGACAATTTAGAGTTGTGTCCCTTGAATCTGATAGCAAAAATTATTAGCTAACCTATAAGCTTATGAAAGGCTTAAATATTTATTAGAGAAAAGAGCAAGAACAAACAAATCTCATAGACCAAACAATAAGCTGATTACCTGCAAGCAAGCATCCACACCAGCACATAAGGACGAGGACGACAACATAAGCTCAGCATCGGCACGCAATATGGCGCTTTTAGCCCGAGCCAAGATTTCTCCTACCTCACGGTGAGTCTGGTTGTAATCCAGAATGCCAATATCTTCAGAACTGTCTCTGTCAGGGAGCAATGGGGATACACCATCACCTGGGGTACTGTCAATAGAAATACTGATCCTACCAGCTGTGGTGTGAAATACTTCCTTGTTTCCTTGTCGCCGGAGCATGACTGGTTCCAAGTAAGTATCAAAACTACTCTGGCTGGTTTGTTTATTAATGGCTTCAATGCTTGGTTCGGTAACTAAAGGGCTTTCATTTAGAGGGACATCATGTCTAAGAAGAACCTGGTTGTTTGGAGCTGGCTTTTCAGCCTCAACAACCTTTTGTAATATCACATTTATTTGAGACTGTGATCGTTTCTCTTCATTTTGTTGTTGCTGTTGCTGCTTCTCTTTCTCCTCCTCTTCTTTTTCTTCCTCCTTTTTCTCCTTTTCTTCTTCCTCTTCCTTCTCCTTTTCTTCTTCATCCTCCTTCTCTTTTTCTTCTGCCTCCTCCTCCTCCTCTTTTTCTTCTTCCTCCTCCTCCTCATTCTCCTCAATCACTTCCATCAGCCCACTACTGAGAGGTCGTGGAGAAGGGTTGGCTGATTCAATAGTATGGACATTGCCCTCACTTGTAGATGGACTGGCCTCAGAATCTGAATCACTGTCATAGGCAAATTCCCTCAATCCACCCACAGCCCCATTTTCATCGAGAGCAATTTTTTCGAGTTTTTGACGCAAGGCCTCGGCAGAGAAATTTGCAATTTGGTTGGGAGGAGCATCAGTCAAAGTGTTGGTGAAAGACATTCGCTGGATACCAGACCTCAACTCTTCTGGAGAGAAAATGCCTTCATTCTCCGGACCATGAAGCAGAGAGTCATTTGTACCAATTTGACTCAGTTTCTCTCGCAATTCAGCAGCAAAATCCTTATCGCCTTGTTCTGGGTCAGAGTCGTTGTCTTCTTCATTCATTGATTCACTTTCTACATCACTGGTAGAAGCATCAGGAGCAAGATTACTTTTTGTGGGAGATACAGTGGTTAGGTCAGATAGGTTGTCTTCAATACTGCTTAGAATACTATCAGGAGGCATTAAAACTTTGGGAGACACTTGCTGGAGTTCATCTGATTGTGAATTGGGATCCAACAGTTTGGAATGATCTGGAGTTTTAACTTTTTCTTTGCTAGTATCTTTTTTTATGATAATTCCATCATCAGATTTCGTACTGTCTGAACTTAGAGTTATGTCATCCGAATAGGACCCACTACTAATTTTCGAAGCACTCTCAGATATTCCACGTTTAGCCATGTAGTCTGAAAAGTCCAGTGAGAAATGTGTGTATTCTAGTGCACCATTAAAGGGATCAAACTGCCGAGCATACTCAGTCTCGAGGACATTTGATAAGTTTGCAACATCACTTTGAGATTTGGGGCATTCATTCTTGATAGCTAAATTAATGGTGTTGCCCTCACTTCGAGATTTGACTAGCGGAGCTAATCTCTTCTCATCTGCCTTGAGAGGTTCAACTAATTTGTTTACATATGGGTAGGATTCTAATGAATTCTGAATTATTTCATTGGCTAAAGAATAAGCAACATCAGAAATGTTTTCACTGTTAGAGGAATCTCCAAGAGACGTATCAAAATCCGAACAACTGAGAAAGCCTAAGTTTTCCCCATTAGATCTCTTTGCATAATTTGGATTGATAGCTGCTCTTGAATGTGGATTGGCTTCATTGATCTTTTCAAGAATATCATCTATGATATCTGGACTCAGAGTCTTGTGAATGCCACTGTCAAATTCACTCTCTATAGAACTGTTCTGTGGGGTATAAGGAAAATGTAAGGAATGGTTCTTTGGGTTTGTTCCATTGCTCTCTGGGTCGTCATGGATATCTAGTGTTGCTTTCTTTTCCTTTATGCGCTGCACCATCTCAGCACTATTAAAACTTGGCAAATGGTAATCTTTCATGTAGGTACTAAAATTGGAATCCATGAAACTGTTAGGAGGAGTCACAGGATAACTTGAACCCTGATCAGAGGTTTGGTCTGAGACTATTTCCATGGGGCTAGTAATCCCAGGGGAAATGACCTCACGCACTGATGGACACTTATCTCCAGTTGCAATGTCAATAGGTTGTTCAGTTTGGATGCATACAAAGTTGTCTATTTGGTGGTGCTTGTTCAAAAAGTCCACATTATCTATGTTGGAAATGTACTTGGTATGTATTGTGTGATCTTCATTCTCAGAATTGATGATGTGGGAGTTATTGTGATCAGCAGGATTGGGTTTTGTATGAGCAGATGATATAAACACTCTATTGTCAAGCAATGTGGATGGAGGGTCAGAATCATTATGACTTGTTGTTGGGCTGAAGGTCTCAAATTGGTCTGTGGACGTGTCTGTACCATTCAGAGAAGTACCACTCAAAGATGATGCACTATCACTATATTTGCTTGCTCTTTTCAGTTCTTGTTCCAAGACACCAACACCACTGCCAATAACTAAACCATCACCACCACCACTACTGCTACCACCACCAGTGATACCACCACAGGCAGAGTTCCCATGATGTGAATATTCAATTTCGCTTTCTGGATTTTTAAATAACCTGAAAAAAGCAAAATATTTTGTGTTCAATAACCATAAGAAAAAATAAATTTAATTATACAATGAATTTTAAGCATAAAAATGCTTTTTATAACTTTCATAAAAGATCTTTTTTAAAAGTGGGAGGGGAATTATAAAATTTTAAAAATACTTCCAATGAGTGTTTATATGATGACAATGATTTTTCACATTCACAAATAGGTATAGTTTAAAATTCAAAGTTTTTTTTTTTCCCAAGCCCTAAAACCAGTTTTAATATGAAAACTAATTCATTTGTAACAAAAATGAAACCGTGATTGGGGTGATTTACACATATTACATACCAACTCATTCTCATTTAATTAAAAAAATTAAGCAATTGTTTCCCAAAAAATAAATTAAACTTCAAATTTTACTTTTTGAAAAAACTAACCACCAAAGCCACAAAAGGGAAGTGAATAAAAATTAGTATATACATTCTATTAAATCAAGTAATAAAGCAAATATTCACCAATTGAATATGACACAGGTCTATAAAAATAGAAACACAGGAATAAATATAAAATGTGAAAAAAAACTAAATTTCTACATGAGGAGGTCAGTCTATTATATTATCTAACTCTGAAGACAACAACAAGTGGTTTAAATACCAAATCAGCATTTACAACATAAGAATGCAATAAATTGATGATAACATTCTCATTCAAACATTTACACCATGTCATGAATGGCTAAGTTAAAAAGAAAGAAATATTACTTTCAAATATTTGTTTTTAATAAATAGATAATAAAAATAGAAAACTGTGCATAAAATTTCTATGCATTATCAGGTTAAGTAGAATCTCTAGTTTATTCCCTTGAGATTTTTTTAAAGGTATAATTTATTGTACAAATTTGTCACAGTAATCTGATCTAAGTCTATAAAGATTTTAATGAGCATTTAACTAGAGATGAATTTGTCTTTTGTGAGAACTAATAAGAAGGAACATTTTGTTTTACTTGTTGCAGTTTTCTTGACCATGTATAGGATAGACAAACAGTTATTAGGCAAGTAGAATGAAGGGCTTATGAAAAGTTCTCAGTGAAAACCATTCCCAAAACCTGAACAAATATCAAAATTCTTCTTTTGAATATTTTCTTGGTCAGGCCAAGAACATTTCAGCATCTCCATTATATTTCAAACACTATCAATTTTCAAATGACATTGCTTTTAGATTAAATATCTGGCACTCTCAAAATCATGATTCTTTTACTGCTTCTAGTCAAAGTGAGAGGTTATTTCTACTCTCTGTTTGAATTTTTGAGTTGAAGAATTATTGTTCACTTGGACCTGAATTTCTTCAGCTATCTGTGAGATTCAGTAATCTTTTGGGAATTTAAATCAGAACTCTTTATTCAATCCCTAACAAAAGGGTGTTGGTTATTAAGTATTATTGTTTAATCCTTGGGCCAGGTTGTGGAAGTCATAAATTTTGATTTAGTAGAAAAAGTAAAAACAATATCTGAAAGACTAATAAAAATTAGCTGCTAAAAGATATCACTATTGAGTGGAAATATTCTGATTAGTATTTTTCATTTTCCTCAAAATTTAAAAAAAGAAATTTGTAAATAAACTTTGCTAGTCAATTTTCTAAGCTGCTTTTCAATCTTACTATAAAAGAATTTTTTTTTTTTTACTATCATTTTCCATGCAATTAAATGGGTCGATTGTTATTATTTATTGCTATATCAACCTCTATGGGTTATTTAATGCCGAAATTTTGTACACAATTTTTTTTATTTTTCAGGGAGATAATGGTTTTAGTGATACAAGTCTTACTAATTAACCCATAGCTGGGGAAGAAGAGGTGGATTCATACTTTTCCCAAGGGTATTTGCATGTAAGTGAATATAACAAACCCAACTGGAATTGGAACATGACTCTGATTAACAATTACAAGCCATTATCCATTACAGCACACACACATCCAAGCTTACTGAACCTGATATTCCCAAGCAGTCATCCATCTAGTTACTGATCAAGCTCAACATTGCTTAATTTCAGTGATCATACAGGATCTGCTGTTTCAACATAGCATTAAATAGAATCAATAATCCTATCATAAATTTTGAATGACATCTTTTTAAAAGAAAATATAATGTAAAATAATATTAAACTGCATATCGTGAATATTTTTGTTAGGAAAGTTTCTAAAATAATTTAATAATAGTTTTACTTTAAGTAGATAAGCAAAAGAATCAAGTGAGTTAAATTTTAAATGGATTTCATGAGTGAATACAGCATGGCAAACATATACTTCAGTTAAGTACACCAGAGTAGAATAAGAAAAGATAATAGAATATAAAGTCAAAGCTTGTAAACTTTATTTGACAGAAGTGAATAAATTTAACAAAATAGTATTTAGCAAAATCTCGAAAAGTAAACACCACTGTGTCTCTACTGACAACACAAAAACCATAACAAATTGCAATTGGAAAAGGTTTTCAAATAAAAAAACAAAGATATGTAAAAAATGAAACTGCCTTTTCATTGCATGAAAGAAAAAATAAGTCCAAATCTTCAGATGAACCACTACGACAATATGAAGAGGTTTCGTTGGGTCATTAAAAAATGAAACATGTTTGCTTCTTATAATGACAAATATTTAGCAGTTAATATTTGCGTGAATATAACTGTCCTTTTGCTGCCGTCATCAAGTTTGTAGATGAAGCAGAAAAACATATTCTTGGCTGCATACTATGAGTCTAGTAGAAAATAAAATAAAATAAACTGTTGCAGTAATAGACACAAACATAATACAAATGTCTGCTTTACTTGGAAGGTAGTATGGATTTACTCTACTTGTCTATCCATGAACTTTTGGTAATAGCTGTCAAATACTGTTGACAAAAGTAGTAGATAAGAAAAAGGCACAAAAGCTCATGGTTTTCTTTTTTCTTTCTCTTTACCCATAATATGCCCAAGAGATAAGATATATCTCATTTCCCCAACAGGAGATCCTTTGATCTCCAGGAAACCATACAATAGTAAACAGCATACAATTGATCTAAGTTTACTTTAATACACACAAACATTTGTAGTAATTCTAACAAACCAACAAAAAACTCTTTCATATGAACTTTGCACACACATGTGAAAATAAGGACATCTTTATATACACACACTTTCATTCACCCTTTTTGTATACTCTTGTTTGCTAAGACAATAAAATATATTGTTGTCAAATATAATTGTTTAGTAATAATCTATAATAAAAAAAAAGAAAAAAAAAGGTAATTACACTACAACTGTTATGCTTTGTTATGACAAAAGATGATTATTTCTGACATATTAATGAAATATCATCAAATTTCCATAAGGAAGAATATATTTGTATTAAATACAAAAACAAAAAATAATCTTATTTAAAAAAATTTCTTTTATTTAAAAAATAGAAATAATTGCCCCGGAGAAATTTCTGCTTGTTATTAAAATGGTGATTCTTTTCTATTTTCTCTTAGTTTTTTATCACATTGTGTGCATACCTCCCCAGTAGAATAAGTGTTTGTTTTGGTAAACAACATATTAATATAGTTGGTTACTTTCTTTTTTTCTTAAAGAAAATGAGTTTTATCATAAAATTAAAAAAATGAAATTAATAAAGTAAAGAAAATAGATAAATAAATTAGAAAGGGACAATATTTTAGAAATTACATCACTTGTTTTAAAGATAACTTGTTCATGAGAAAAAAAATATAACATCAATCAGCTAAGTAACAAATTTTATATTTGTATTAATCATCTATATTATATATATATATATATATATATATATATATATATATATATATATTTATTCATATTCTAATAAAATATACTTGTTTCCTCACTATTTAGTACAATTGAATTTCATGCATATGACAATTGTCAGACACAAATTGAAAACTGACAGTCTGTTCTCAATTTGTGTCTCACAATTGCCATGTGCATGAAACTCAGAATTGTACCAAATAGTGAGGAAAAAATGTATATATAAATTTATTATCAGTATTAATTGCAGCTCTGTTATTCTACATCTAGCACAGTTTTATTACAAGTACTCACTCTGCACCATTTTATATACATATATTTAAAGAAATAATGGATTTATTTTGAATCCATCATTATATGTGTGTGGGGGGGGGAAGAGGACTCAGAAATTGTAGATCTCAGTATTTACATGAAGAGGAGAAATCCATTGAAAAGACTTTTAAGTCCCTAATGTATTCTTACTGCATATTCATTGTGAAACAAAAGTCTCATAAAATATTTAAAATCAGAAAAGCAGCCCTTCCTGACAGACTCAATGAATCAAAATATATTGTTCCAACTGCTAACTCCATTATAACTGAAAAGAATTTATTTAAACTCAACATCAAATTCATTACAAGTACTTCTAAAACAATAAAAAGACTTAATAAAAAACAAAATAAGCTAAAACTTGGAAGAATTTACTCTTTCACCTGTAATAATTGCCACAAGGAAAAGTTAAATAAATGGTTATATGAACACAAAAGAGATCTTTTACAAAACATACTAAATGCATTAGTTGATCACAATAATGAAACTAATAATTTTAATTTTAAAAAATGCTACTCTTATAACAGAAAAAGCAATTTACTAAGATGAACATGTTTAAAAGTGCTTTAATTGCTAAATCATCTACAGTAAATTTGCATCTAGCTTCTTACATTTCATCTTTCTTAGCACATCTATTATCACAATGTGGGATATTTAATAACAAAAGTGATAGAAACATAATATATACCCAAAACATGATATATTTAAAAAAAAAACAATTTTTAATTTTAAATTCTTATTATCCCGTTTACTTTGTGCTCATGTGCAGTCACATCAACATAAACATTCCTTTAGTCTGAAGTCCTGAAGAATGAAATGCATCAAACGGAAATTTTTTTTGCTTAGTTTTTTTTTTTTTTTTAAATAAGTTAATTTGTCAAAATAAAGTCAACTTCCACAATAAACAATAAGTGAGAAGTTTA